CAACCCAGTTGTTAACACTAAATTACCTACAAAGTACATGATCGTGTACGTCGCCCTCTTTGTATGTAAGTTGGAGTTAACTTTGCGCGAGTTCACTGGGCACTAGAAATTCATCCGGGAGATTTACTCTAATCAACCAACATGGCGGCTATGTTGAGAGGCTGTCGCATGTTAGAAAGTGTGCCATTCTTGGTGAGTAAAGTGGACAACGAACCGTCAAAATTGTTGTTCGTCATATGAATCTCATATTGTTTTCTTTTTTGACAAAATTATTTCGTCCTTGGTCTATGACAGGCTCGAAGTCTGAGTGTCTCGTCTGCCCGATGTGCTGAGCTAGCCGCTAAGGTAAATTTACTAGCACTACATGTTCATATATGTTTACAAGCTTCTGTTGGTTCTGAATAGTGAATTTCTTGACAAAAAACTGAGTATTACTAATTTGAAATGAACACAGCCCCCGTAAAACGATGATCTGTTTACATAATTTGTGGTTGAATCGTTATTTACGATAGTATATTACGTGCTTCTTTTTACTTGACTTCGTAGATATTCTTAAGATTTAGACTGATTTAGATGACGAAGTATCGTGAAGCTTTTTCATGGTTTGCATTTTGTGTTGTTTTAAATCTTTGATATAAGACTAAAAGTAATGGGTAAAATTAGTGATGTGCATGGGATTCGTGTTTTCTTAAGATAAACAAATACAGTAATTTGGCTCTGTGAGAAAGGTCAATTTGTATTACTTTGTGACTGATCAAACTTAAAAATGATAATAGTGCAGGGGGAAAGAAATAACCAGTCATTCAGAAAAGTCATAACAGTGTAGCAGTAGATGTTAAATTTACTTGCTTGTTGAAACTCTAGCAATCTGTACTAATGAAAAACTTTATGAGATTTGAAGTGTCACCATTATCACCAATGATCATTTGAGACTGAGGTCAAGAGTGACATGATAGCACCCAAACCCTGAAATTGCCAGGCATCCAAACTAATATGTAGAATATTTTGACTTAAAGAACTGATTGTGAAATGAGGGACTCAATCTGGATAGGTAATCCTTAATGAATAATATGCCTGAATTTTAACACAATGATGTCTTGGAAATTAACTTGCATCTTTTCTCTGTTCCCCTCTCAAACCAGTAGAAATGTAGGGTAATGTAAGATTTAGAAATATAATAGTATTGTTGTCCTGTGTAAATTTTGATCATTGTAAAATACAATTTGTTTCTCTTACAGCCTCCTATACAAGTGTTTGGTGTAGAAGGCCGCTATGCACATGCTTTGTACTCTGCTGCAGCTAAACAAAAGCATTTGGAGAAGGTTGAGAGTGAATTACTGAATGTTGATGAGCTTATAAGTACAAATGAAAAACTCTCTGAATATCTTGCAAATCCAACTTTGGACAAGTACAAGAAACAATGTAAGGGTTGACATGCTAATCTGTATCAATGGTATCAGTTTATACAGTCCAGTCTTAACTAAAAGTAAACACTATTTGGTCTTGTTAGCAAAGAGTCATATCAATTTAAAAAGGGTAGATTTCTTCCTAAAATTTGCTTTTCAACCTATGTGTGATATCAGGGAGTTTAACTCTGAGCTATGAACTGTTTAATGATGTGACAAGAATACAGGACATTTTGCACAAAAG